CAGTGTAGGTAGTATTCTACAATAAGCTATCGTGGTTTATGTCTGAATTACCTGAAAAAGATATCTCAAACGTGGTGATCCAGCGTAGGTAGTATTCTACAATAAAGCATCGTCTATTGTAAATGTTATTTAAAAATTTAAGATTATTTATCGCCACTTTATTACAACTTCTTTGCACAGCTCAGGTATATCAATAAATTGAAAAGTCAACAATACTGACAACTAGTTTATTTCAATATTACTCATTATGCATTCAAAATATACTTTAGAAATTGACGGTGCAGGCTCAGAGAAAATTAAAAAAAACAACACAACTTATAAGATCGACAAAGGGAAAATTTAAAACTAAAAGTATATATTGGTTAAATGGTTATGACCAAATCAAAGTTAAATCTAGTATATAATAAATACAAACAAATCTCAAAATACCCTAAATTTAGGTGTAGTTTATTATATATTCAGTTTATCTATTTCCGGTGAGCTATACGGACAACGAAACTGGACTGTCTATAAAAACCTTTCGTTCGAATGAGTCATATGCATACCACAGTTATCATTCCAAGAAGACACACTGAAAATATCTGAAGAAATCTAAGTGAAGATCTTGATTGAAGAAATGAATTTTCGAGGTATGAACAAAAATAAGTTTTATATTAGAACTTTTTACTATGTAGAAGCTATATGTGTCGCAAATTACTATCTAGATTGCTACAAGTTTCATATAAAGTAGCCAATAGTCAATTAAAAAGCTATATAAAATGTAACAATTTGTGATATACTTATAGAAATGTTTCGTAAAGTTTCAAGATAGTCAATCTGTTTATAACACTGATATAACTATAATGCTATGTTAGTTGTAGCGATATCAATAATAGTTGTCGAAACATAAGCCAACATAAAAGTATATTATTAAACCTGTGGTCAATTAACTATTACGACTATTAGAATAAGCTTCTCAAGTTTCGCGGTTAATAATTTTTACTATGTGTAAAATATTAATCAGATATAGTATTACAAGTTAGCTTTTAATGCCGAACGAGGTTTCTCAGCGAATCTCTTGAGACGAAAACGAGTACGATTACATTAATTTAGAACTTTGATACGAATACAGATTGGTTTCTATAAAGTAGTTTAGTTTCAAAAGTTTTCAAGAGCTGGTCAACAATGTATAGGCTATTTGTGAAATATTTAGTTCATATCCGTCTTTGTACAAATGCATTTTCGAAACTCTGTCGTGGCTACATTTGGGGATTCCCCTTCTCTTGGACGCCGTGTAGTAAAGCTTATACACTCGAGTTGAGGTTAAAAATTAACGCTTTGACTAAAAAGTAGTTGAATTTACAGCTATCAGAAAGCTTCGGATGGATAGGGATACAACTACCTGAAAAATACAAGGAGAATTTCGACGTTTCGAGCGAAGGCGCTTCGTCGGAGAGTTATAGTGGCGAAGCTCGGGAAAATTACATGAACTTTTATACCAGTGAATATAAATCAGCTATTTAAAACTATCTATATGTCCCTCTGTCAATCGTGTACTGTTTTTTCAATTTCTCATCTGGCATCTCAGAATTTCGTGCATCGTGTATTATTTATTACAAATTCCTTGTTGCTGTCCCTTTCATTGTTATGAAACAAACTTGTGGCCAACGGAAACGTTTTGTGAAATCAACAGTAAGATGGAAGAATGTATTGCATGTATAAGGCTCAAAGAAGGCTGAGAATAAAGTCATGAGGCAAAAGTTGAATGATTTTGTTGTTGATAGAAATTTCGATTAAAAACTAGATACAAATTTTAGACGTATACCGGAAGTTCTGAAAAGTGAAGAATATTTAACAGTATATACCGGCGTAAGACTAGAAGTTGCTGAGTGGACAAAACACACAATTTTAAAGCTCGTACCTTCGAGAACAGCTTTTCTTCTTTTCATTAAGTTTTTAAAACATTCCACATTTCCTACGTTTCCACACACCTACGTCTGCTACGAGAAAACATCGTTTCATAAAACATTAAACGTGGGAAATCCCCAATCAACGCAAAGTAATGAAAATGAAAGTCCCTAGTGCCAGGTTCCCATTTCTGATTTTCCCACGCGAACACCACCGATCACTGAATTAATACTGTGATATTAATGGTTTAGAAAGCGTTACGTCGCATCAACTTATACTACAAACGTTTTGACACTTATTGAAAACTAAACTACATACAGACAAATTTGGCCAAGGTTTGTTTATAGACAATTCACAACTTTAGAAAACTCACATATGCCTATAGTTAACTATTGCTCTAGTTTACATATAGCATAGAACAACAGTAACTAAACTTTAGAATTATCTACATGAGAAGTTACTTTGTTTTATTCTGTGCTTCTGTCAACTAGAGCAATATAGTTAACTAGCCAAATTTGTCAATAGACCTTTCCCCTTTTGAGTGAAATTTTGATCTAGACAAGTCTGGACAAAAATTTCATTACAGCTGGAAAGAGCATCACAAAATTAGTAATATTCCGAAGTTTCGTTGCGAAAAGTTGTAAAATGCGGATAATATAGCCTTGCGAAGTTTGCCGTTTTTCAGTCATTTTGCATTAATACAAACGGGAAATTGATAATCAGATGATCAAACTTTCACTCATAAGGGGAAAGGTCTATTCACAACTTTAGATAACTCACATATCATGCCTATAGTTAACTATTGCTCTATATAGTTTACATATAGCATGATATATAGAACAACAGTCACTAAACTTTAGCATTATCTACACGAGTGAAGAACTCTGATGCATAATTCTAATGTTTTAAGTTACTTTTGTCTTTGTTTTATTCTGTGCTTCTGTCAACTAAAGCAATATAGTTAACTAGCCAAATTTGTCAATTGCTATGTGGCTTTCACTATAGGGAGCTTAAGCATGCAGGACGGCAACACGACGACCAAAACAAATTCCTTCAAATAAATGATAGTGAAGAAAACTTGTCGTATATTATAATTCGTATGAATTTATACAGTATAAGAAGTTGAAAACATTGGTTTTATGTTTGGGAAGAGTTCTACTGACCGAATTTTAAGTCGCACTTGTTACGACTTGAAATACAGGCGTTGTATAAAAGACGTGAAAATCTCGGTGATTTGCCGTTGAAAACAGAGCGACGACTACGTCTGAAACTTCCCTTGTACTTTAATTATTTCTTTCTTTTCATTGACTCATTGTATTGGTTGCCGTCGTCGCCGTATTGTCGTCATACATGCTTAAGCTCCCCAGGGTTGGTAAGTTAGATGAATAATTAGTGCAAATTCGTTATCAGTGCCGTTTAGAAAACAAAGAAAACAAAAGGCCAAGACAAAGAAAACAAAGGCCTAGTGTGACGGTGTTTGGCCTAATTATTCAGCAAACCTACCAACTCTGAAGCTCCCTACTAGCAACCATGTAAACAATGTTAGCCAATTTTGTCTACTCATGCAGTGACGAAATTACCATTATAGCCAGCGAAGCCGGAACTGGGGGGGGGGGCAGGAGGGGCAGCCGCCCCTGTTGCCCTTTACCAGGAGGGGCAAGGGGGGCAAAGGTGCCCTATCAATTTAAAGGATTGCCTTGGCGAAATAGCGAATTGTCAGAAATGTTACAAATTTGCTTCAGAAAACGCAAGAAATGCAGTCATCGAGCTTCAAGAATAGCACAATCGCCTGACGGAGAACCCCCTCACACCCCTATCATCCAATAAATAGAAAACATGATTAGGCGAAGTTCAACTCCCTATGTTTTGCAAACATCTCTTAGTATATATCAATTCAAAAGCGCCCTTTCACGAAAATCTGCCCCCCTTGCCTTCGCAACGTTCCGGCGTCCCTGATTATAGCCTCTCTCACGTTCGTCCATGACTATTTGTGGGCGGTTTTACTTAGCAAAATACTTCAACATCTTACCTAAATATATCAATGCATATATGCTCGTCAATTTTTCCCAAATCTACGATTATAAACCAAAACCAGGGTATCTTAACCACTGTCTTCCCTCGTCAAAGAATCTAGACAATTAAAACAATGTGAAAAGCGACTTTACAAAGTTGGAACTATACATTTACCATTAAACACACAACTATACAGTGATAAAAACTCGCATTTCGCAGTGTTTACACTCCCATACATTCAAAATGGCGGATAAAGCGATAATGAGAAAGGCTGAATACAGTATCAGTTAAAGTAAAATAGTAATTAAATTATTTGATTTGTTTTTTTCTCAATTTTCAGACATCAGTGCAAGTGCGGTCACTCTAGTGTGTGTTTTATTTATCTTCAACGCGCTCGTCGTTCACAAGACTGTGGGACGACATCTAGACGCCAGCTACAAATTATTCAAGTACAGAAATCTTCTTCAAACTGCGAAAGAAATTAACGACATTGCTGATGAAACAATAGAAGAATTTGTAAGTACTATTATTTCTCATCCAATTCACATATATAATTCAAATCTTGGTTACCTTTGTTCCATACCATGCTTACATTATCAGAACAGTGGTAACTAGGCATGTGAGTTATCAATTCACTCACATATATAATTTAAATACTTGGTTACCTTTGTTCCATTATATGCTTACATTATCAGAACAGTGGTAACTATAGGCATGCGAGTTATCAATTCACTCACATATATAATTTAAATGCTTGGTTACCTTTGTTCCATTCTATGCTTACATTATCAGAACAATGGTAACTAGGATAAGCGAGTTATCAATTCACTCACATATATAATTCAAATGCTTGGTTACCTTTGTTCCATTCTATGCTTACATTATCAGAACAGTGGTAACTAGGCATGTGAGTTATCAATTCACTCACATATATAATTCAAATGCTTGGTTACCTTTGTTCCATTCTATGCTTACATTATCAGAACAGTGGTAACTAGGCATGTGAGTTAACAATTCACTCACATATACAATTGAAATGCTTGGTTACCTTTGTTCCATTCTATGCTTACATTATCAGAACAGTGGTAACTAGGCATGTGAGTTATCAATTCACTCATATATATAATTTAAATGCTTGGTTACCTTTGTTCCATTCTATGCTTACATTATCAGAACAGTGGTAACTAGGCATGTGAGTTATCAATTCACTCACATCTATAATTCAAATGCTTGGTTACCTTTGTTCCATTCTATGCTTACATTATCAGAACAGTGGTAACTAGGCATGTGCGTTATCAATTCACTCACGTATATAATTTAAATGCTTGGTTACCTTTGTTCCATACTACTGTATATGCTTACATTATCAGAACAGTGGTAACTAGGCATGCATGCGAGTTATCAATTCACTCACACACTGTATATGATATAAATACTTGGTTGCCTTTGTTGGATTCTATGCTTAATTATCAGAACAATGGTAACTAGGCACGTGATTTATCTGAAGTGAACTGGCTGGCTGAATGGTTATTTCAATCTTTTATTTAGAAAGCCAAGTCTTTGTTTGGTTATCATGTAAAACGACCAATGTTAGTTTGCAACGTCATATACAAAAACCTTAAGTTGACAGTAAGTGACATGTTGTTGTTGTTTGTTGTTGTTTTAACAGAATTACTTGTTGTAGAGTTAAGCATAGTTAGATCATACAGAGGTACTACATGTTCTTGAACGTGGGTCACCTTATAAAGTGATCTGATGTTGTACTGAATTCAATATTGAGTTAAGCATAGTTAGATCATACAGAGGTACTACATGTTCTTGAACGTGGGTCACCTTAAAGTGATCTGATGTTGTACTGAATTCAATACTGAGTTAAGCATGGTTAGATCCATGTGGGCTATCTTAAAGTAATCTGATGTCATCTTTTATTTGCAGGAAAGAGAGAAATTAATTGTGAACGAGAAAAAAATACGTGTATTTCTTAAACCGCTGACCAAAGTCACCGCTGACATAAAGAAGCAACCAAATGCAACACATTTCCTAAATGATTTGATGTTGTTGCGGTACAAGGTCATCGACTTGATTTTGACAGTAAAATATGTTGTAAGTATAAACACTATAATAACTCAGTAAGACATGATCCTTACTGGACCTCTAGGAAGAACAGTTTAGAACTGATAGAGCTATCCAGTATAAATAAAGTTAGTTTAGTTTAGGTTTCCTCCCGTAGTGACACTGAATCAATAAGAGATGATCTTTACTGGACCTCTATAGTGAGAACAGTTTGGAACTGATAGAGCTATCCGGTATAAATAAAGTTAGTTTAGTTTAGGTTTCCTCCTGTAGTAACACTGGATCAATAAGAGATGATCCTTAATGGACCTCTAGGAAGAACAGTTTAGAACTGATAAAGGTATCCAGTACAATTAAGTAAAGTTAGTTTAGTTTAGTTTAGGTTTCATCCTGTAGTAACACTGGATGTCTAGAGAGGGCAGTTCATGGAACTGATAAAATTAATCATCTCAAATAAATCAAATGATATCAAATAAATCATTTCAGTATAGTCAATAATTTCTCTTGTTACCTTTTAGGAAAGACATTTGCATAACGATATACCACAATCCAGTAACACCAAGACAAGACAAGCCAGTGGTCCACCGTACCAGACACCCTCAAATATCAGCCTAGGAAATAAAATAGTCAGTTTGCTTCAGTGCTTTCGACAAGAACTGTTTTATTCTGCACGCTTTTACCAAGATAAGGTGAAAGAACTAAAAAATGCCAAATATGTATAGTTCCTACAAAATGAACAAGCGTATTTTGCCATGTCATTGCTTGCAATGTTAGAAAGTAAACTTCATAAGTTGTTATTAAAAAATTGAATAAAAATTTTTTTATAAAATAAGTTGAATCGAAAATATATTATGCATAAGTTTTAATAAGTTAGTAACCGCAATTGTCACAATTTTGTAATTCAAGTATTTAATAGTAACAGAAATTTTGTAAGCTATTTAATAGAATAAAAAATTGTATTTTTTATGTTTTCTATACGAATCATTTTTTTTTTAAAGTCAAATTATTGTACTGTGGTCTTTTACGATAATATTTCAAACGTGGTGGTCCAGTGTAGGTAATATTCTACAATAAGTTATCGTGGTTTGTGTCTGAACTACCTGAAAGATATCTCAAACGTGGTGGTCCAGTGTAGGTAGTATTCTACAATAAGCTGTCGTGGTTTGTGTCTGAGCTACCTGAAAAAGATATCTCAAACGTGGTGGTCCAGTGTAGGTAGTATTCTACAATAAGCTGTTGTGGTTTTATAACAAACATACTTGCAGGTTCGGTGAGTCCGGGATTGGACGTACCTCGGGTGACTGGAAGTTTCCCGAACTCACCGAGCGAAGCGAGGTGGGTTTGGGAAACATCCAGCCACCCGAGGTGCGTCCAATCCCGGACTCACCGAGCCTGCACTAAGTATGTTTGGTTTTTACCACATGCCATTTCGGTAAAAAGTACTGAAGAATTTACGCATTTTAGTATATAATTTCTTGTTCGGATAACGAACATTTTAGCCGCCAACATACTACGCAAACAAACAAACTTAGGCTTAAATTGAAGCTAAAAAAATTCTCTACAATATTTCCTTATTCTTAAAAAAGAAAATGCACACATTCTGCGAAAACATTGCCAAGATTTATATAAACCTGCCCGTGCCGAACAAATTTCGGCGGCCATCTTTCTTCTCTTCAACTTTGAATCCAGAATACCCCATTTTCATCAAACAAAATAAAAAAATAATAATTATAAAACAATTAAAAACAACTACATGTAATTTATTTTTTATTTAAATCTTCGTCTGAAATTTGTTCAAACCGCTTCATAATGGCCGCCGCCGAAACATCGATCTCGAACCCCCCACTTAAACATACGTCAGCAGGTGGGTTCGAGATTGAACGCATCTCCTCGTAGCCAATAGAAAAGCCGCTAATACACTAGGTATATGAGATAAGTGTCTGAACTACATGAAGAAGATATTTCAAACGTGGTGGTCCAGTATAGGTAGTATTCTACAATAAGCTGTCGTGGTTTGTGTCTGAACTACATGAAGAAGATATTTCAAACGTGGTGGTCCAGTGTAGGTAATATTCTACAATAAGCTGTCGTGGTTTGTGTCTGAACTACCTGAAGAAGATATCTCAAACGTGGTGGTCCAGTGTAGGTAGTATTCTACAATAAGCTGTCGTGGTTTATGTCTGAACTACATGAAGAAGATATCTCAAACGTGGAGTTCCAGTGTAGGTAGTATTCTACAATAAGCTGTCGTGGTTTGTGTCTGAAGTACGTGAAAAAGATATCTCAAACGTGGTGGTCCAGTGTAGGTAGTATTCTACAATAAGCTTATAAGCTGTCGTGGTTTGTGTCTGAACTACCTGAAAAAGATATCTCAAACGTGGTAGTCCAGTGTAGGTAGTATTCTACAATAAGCTGTCGTGGTTTGTGTCTGAACTACCTGAAAAAGATATCTCAAACGTGGTGGTCCAGTGTAGGTAGTATTCTACAATAAGCTGTCGTGGTTTGTGTCTGAACTACCTGAAAAAGATATCTCAAACGTGGTGTTCCAGTGTAGGTAATATTCTACAATAAGCTGTCGTGGTTTGTGTCTGAACTACCTGAAAAACATATTTCAAACGTGGTAGTCCAGTGTAAGTAGTATTCTACAAGCTGTCGTGGTTTGTGACTGAACTACCTGAAGAAGATATCTCAAACGTGGTGGTCCAGCGTAGGTAGTATTCTACAAGAAGCTGTCGTGGTTTGTGTCTGAGCTACCTGAAAAAGATATCTCAAACGTGGTGGTCCAGCGTAGGTAGTATTCTACAATAAGATGTGGTTGTTTGTGTCTGAACTACCTGAAAAAGATTAAGTAAGGTTTTGAGCGATGTCAGCTATTCGTAAAATATATCGCTGTCACCAACCTCTACACGTAATGAAAAGAATGAACATTATTTTCTCTCTCTGATAACTGCAGTTGATCACCATCTGCTGTACGATAATGCTTAGTGAAACTCACTCACTATAACAGAAAAGAAATGAACGCCAGCAGCCAATTAGAAAGCAGTATGTGACCGGACGTGACATGCATATATGTCACCGGATATGACATTACTACATGAGCCGAAATATTTATCGTAATTTACAAGAAGAGGATTATCATTTTTCGCATTTGTAATCCCTCAGTGCATGGAACAGTAGTTAGCTAATATTTACTTAGAGTCACACACCGTTTTGGGAATTTTCACACAATAATTCTTCGGGAAATGCACAGATCCTTCCTCAGAGATTAGTTATGATGAAAAACTTTCTCTCGATGTGATCTTAATCCTTTTCACGCTGTCCAAACAAGCCAAGACAGTTATACCGAAACTGGGCCACCACGGCGTTTGAGATAACAATACTGATCTATCATATAACTGATATACTTCAGTGCATTCAATACATGATAACAGAATTATAAAGACTAATGTGGCATTGACATTGTGTAAACAGCATGTCCGAGACTAAAATTGATTTGTTCCGCTTTGGGACGTTCTAGAGTAACTGAAGTATTGCCTGGACATATTATCATTACAACACTATGTAGTATATAATAACTTTTCCTTATACCGCATACACAACAAAATTGATTATTTCAGACCGGTTCAGTGAACGTATATCTTCGATTCATGCCCTCTTTATAGTTCATATATTGAAGCGTTACATTCAAAATAGCATTGTTTGCAGCAGTATAGGTATATATATTCAACTTGTTGGGCACAATTTTCACAGCAAATCACTAGACTCTTTTGGACAGCCCAAGTTTTAAACGCGTGAGCATAATATGGAGTTTCAGATTGGGTTATGTTATCAAACTTTCTTTGAATAATGTACATTTTGATCAAAGTAATGTGAAATGTAAACCTTTATCAAAGATTTCTATCAAAATACAGGTGTACTTCCGAGATTTCTCGTCTCGTTTAGTTTAACCAAATGAGATAACAGTGAGATGTAAACATTTACAATGTAAAATTACAGCCGTTGTATATACACGACCCAAAATGACAAATAAGACTATCCAGACATTCAATTATTTGGCGTTTTGCTCTCTCTGGGATTTATTGTACTATTGAGAACCATTAAATCTCGTTTTTGTCCGCTAAAATATCTCTATTTTTCATAGAAGTAGTATATTTCTCGGTAAGAAACAGCTCAAAAGAACAGCATAAAAAATTCATGATCGTTTGCCCTTAATTTAAATATTCAAAAATAATACCTAAATTTAACAACTTATATGACAAGCGAAAGTAAAACGAATATAGGCAATAGCCGTAATGTATCAATTGAGAAGGGAAAGTATATGTACAGGTATATATATTACAGTAAACTGCCTTAAACTACTTTCTAAAGTGGGAAAAGACCTAATCAGCTATTCATTCACGGGATGTGAAAATATAACGGTTAATACCCGAAAACGTAAAATTACGGACTGACTGAGGAGTATAAAGGCAATGGCAAAATGTGGAGAGCATCACAATTGTTTAACATACATACTGAAGAAATTTAAAAGCTACGGTTGGTTAAAAGATCATGGATTTGAAAGGTTAGTAGAAGTTACATTGACTATATAGTGAAAGTAGAATAATTTAACATTGTTTTAGAAATGTTTCTTTAGAAATTAAAACAATAGGAGGTGTATCTTGGGTTACAAGTACCTGTAGTATAAACTTGAACGGTCGTTGCCAGCGTAGCGAGTATAACAATAACATAAGAAAGCTACGAATCGAGAGGAATTCAACTGCCTGAAAAATATACAAGCAAAACTTCGTCGTTTCGAACCGGACGGTCTTTCGTTGGGACGTTAGTGAACGACGAAGGGGCTTCGCTCGAATCGTCGAAGCTTTTCTCGTATTTTTCACAAGCGTGGGTAGTAGCGAAGTAGTTGTAGTTCGCTACTGTAGCGAACTACAATTTTCAAGTAGCCAGTATAGTTTTTGACTACTTTTTGAAAACAGTAGCTGTAGTTATAGCGAACTACATTTTGCCTAAAAGTAGCCAAGTAGTTGACTACTTTTCAAACAGCGAATCGCTATTCGCTACTTTTTAAAATTGTTAGCAACTTGATAGAATAGCATGATCATTGAGACACGGTTTGCTTAAAATCAATACTCAATAGTCAATTTGCACTCTTGAACACTGTCGTGCTTACAAAAATGTTGCTTTGTGTTTACTGTTGCTACTCGTAAGTCGCTTTGTTATAGGTTACATTACAGCTTGAGTTAGTAGATGCTCCAAATACAGTAAAACTAAAAAATATAGCGTAGCGAAACAGCGAAATAGTTCGCTACATTTTTTAAGCAGTAGCTGTAGTCAGTAGCGAACTACCTTTATTCAAAAGTAGCAGTAGTTGTAGCTGACTACATATTTTTGAAGTAGCTGTAGTTATAGCGAAGTACAAAAATAAATTTTGTAGTAGCCCTTATAAGTAGTATACTCAGCATTTTCTACCGAAATCTCGAATGTTGAGTTTCAGTGCAGGTCGTGTAGGGGTAAACAAGATCCTTGAGGGATCACGCAGGATCAAACTACGTGAAAATATCATAGTAACAAAAACTTCAATGTTATTCTGAGAGCCTTCGTTTGAAAGTCAGTGATAACGTCCAGTCTAACTTCGACACGAATGGCCTTCGTTTCAAAAGTTGAAGTTCTGGCTATATATTTTCGGGTCGTTTGATCCAAGAAAGGGACGTTTACACGCTGTGATTTATCAGCCTATTTCATGCATATGTATGTTATGAACTTGAAAAATCCCCCGACCTCACTGACTGAAAATATTTGTTACTGACAATCACAGTATGTAGTACCAGCCTAGGCCTTCTATTTTTATTTTTAATATTAAGCGAGCATTTCGCATGAGAAGATTGAGACCTAGGAATCCTACTATTCATTTCGCTTGTGACGTCATGCTTGCTAAATGCTAGCCCAAAATGGACCAAACCTGCCAAAGCCAGCTGAGACAGCCGAGTATAGGCCTAGGTCTAGGCTAAACGTATACCTCAATCCCTCAAAAGAACGAGTCACAATTGAGAATCCCCTTATTACGTTTTCGTACCGCTTTGCATTGTGGTTATAGTGGTAAACTTGAACATCAGTGATACCACTATAACCACAATGCAAAGCGCCACGAAAACGTAATAAGGAAATGCAAAGCGCTACAAAGTAGAAATTGCAGTATTGATAAAATAAATCTTTATTATTTATATCATTTAATCTAGGCAAATCACTTACTTTATTGGCTGCCACGCTACTGCTATGTCGTCATGCTGTCGTCATCACCACGGCAACCAGTATGACTTACCAAAGACTAGAATCGCAAACGAGAACCACAATTGGTGCCGTGGATAAAACCAAGATTGCTTTGGTAAGAATCGTCTGGTTTATACACAGAGACAAATCATCTGCCTCACTCATTATCAGTCTCAGCGGAAACAAAAGACAAATTATCCAGACGGAACTGCCATCGTGGCAAAAAGTATTGTGGAAATAGATGAAAATACACGCCTTGCCCTATCACATTCTTGCAAAAACAGCATTAATAATTCAATTTATTTTTTTGATAGATTACTCAGTACTCGATCAACGAAAGTAACATAACAGAAAAAATGACTAAATGGTATTTTGGCGTTTCTGATTGCTGGAACTACAGTATGACAGTAAGTTCAAGTCTGGCCATTGTGAATAAGATCAATTTGGTGTAGGATAAATTTTCACTCGGCTAACATTTTGTCTTGGTCTCATGTTAACTAGCTTGCGCCCATGATATCGTTCAACCGGGATGGATTTACTGGGGTTGCGGGGGTGTGCACCCCCTAGCCCTGGTCAGAGGGGGTGCAGGGGGTGCATTCATGTCAACTGCACGTAGCCTATACTATGGTGATAAATGGATCTTATTCGATTGCCTGACTATACTTACAATTTCGACAAATTACTTTTTCAGGAAGATGAACGATTGACCGACAACTACATACGTTTGAAAATCTTCAAACATCAATCCATGAATATTTCCAGAAATGTTGTTGTCCCGGGGCTTGGCAATCTGCAGCGAGCTGTAAGATTAATGGTAAGAATCATTAGCGTTTACTCGTAGCTATTTCATTGCTCATTAGTTAAGCCCAGATCTAGCGAGGATCAAAGTTGGCAGTCACACGCCCTTGGTTAGCTGTTCTTAATGCTTTCCCAACACTATCATGTATTTTATTTAAGGTTACAGAACACCTTTGAGTGTTAATTTTGCCTAAATTTTGTTAATTTTCGCACGAAAAATTTTACGGTAATTACTGATTTTCAAACGAGTTGTGCTCCTGCGGGTTTTAACCAATTTTTCTCAAATTTTCACAGGACATAGCTAAAGACGTCAGTTTCAAAATTGTGTTCGGCTTTTTTTTAATTTTGGATATTTTAATAATAAAGAGCAATTGACTCAAACAATTCAGAAATATATTGCAGTCGTCAAAGAAATCGCCATATCAGCGGAATGACGAAATAAACAAAAAATTCCGAACACAATTTTTTAATTAGAACAACTATTTTACTGTATAAAAATGATATTTTCATAAATATAACTTAAAACCAGCAGGAGCACAACTCAAAAGCGTAAAGGTACCGCGATTTAAGATTTTCCTGAATAATTCTTACATTATTTTATTGTTTGTTAATTTTACAACTAGCTTTACCATATTTTGCATACACTGGAGAACATTTGGTGAAAATTTGATGAAAATCGGACTGATATTGAGCGCGCAGTAGCGACTTTCCGCAAAACGCCAAAAAGGGTGTCCTGCAACCTTAAAGGGATATGCCAATATAAATCAAGTTTGTCTTATTTGAAAGATGTAAAATGATATATAAACTTCCTTTACAATTTTTCCATATCTTGCTTGGTTTCCGAAATAAATCGACTTATTTTGATCAAAAGCAGCGTGCATTCCACCATTTTGGATATGCATTCGATATGCATACGTCACAAGTAGGGTAAAAAGCGAAATTTTTATCTTGCAAACCACATGTCATTATCAAAATGAAACTCGATTTTCCGAAGTCTTTTTATAGTACTCAATTAACTCACAACATTTTAAGAAACATTTCGAAGAAATTTAGTCCCACATGAAGTAGTCTTAACAAGTTTACCCTGCTTGTGACGTCATCAAATACTCAGTTAATTAGGTAAGACCATGGATAATAAAATAAATGGATAGGAAACTACCTGACGTGACCTAATGTTTTCAATGATTGGATGTTGAAACCTACTTGCAAACCAAATTCTCAAAAACGGCCTGTTTAGCAATAATACAGCTAAACATTTTAGTCAAAGAGCAGATGAATATAACTACGCCATTCTACGATGAAATCTCTAAGTATTCCCAGTCAATTTTAGCAAATATTTCAAGCACTAAACAGTGAAAAAGGCATCCCAAATTTCGTTAAAAAATTGGGGACGCCAATTTCGTAGCTACAAATGTAAAAAAATACAAAACAAAGACGAAAAACATTTACCTTGAATACTTTGTCGTGGCTTAGGTTTATGCTTCAATATTGCTCTTTTAAGGCGGAAAATATAGCGAAACAACAAAAATGCAGAGAACTTTGCAATACGCGTGAACTTTGCAATACGCGTGACAGATTGCAACTAGGTTGTTTTTGCTTACGTCAGCGAGAGTCCTATCCATTTATTTTATTATCCATGGTAAGACTGTACACTGTTTTTGGTCAAAATATTCCGAAAGCCAAGCAAGATACGAAAAAGTTGTAAAGGGTCTTCATATATAAGTTTAAATGTTCTTTCAAATAAGACAAAGTTAATTTTTATTGCCATATCCCTTTAAGTTAAAACATAGTTGGAACATTCATCAAACCTTTATTTTGTTAATCTAGAGCTTGAAATGTCCCCTGTAACAATGTGTGACTGCCATGACTCTCTGCATGCATCAACTCTCATCCTGGTTTGACCAGAGTTTTAGGGAGTTTAAGCTTCACGTTTCCGCGGGAACGGCAAACGGCAGGTTCGAACTTTCTTGGCAAAATTTTCGTTGAAGGTTTTCGTTTCATATTTTCTTTCTTGTGTCGAAAGAACAATCGTGCATTGCAGTTTTAAGACAGCAAGTTTATTGGTGTCTGATATCGTAAAATGTTTCTTCGCCTGCCGTTTGCCGCTTGATGTATATAACGCGAAACTTAAACTCTCTAATTTCTCTGATGGTTAGTTAAGCTTGGCATAGTCCAGATTTATACGACTTACCATCCACACAAGACGAACTGTCCAGACAAACTAGTTCGACCAAAGTCGTCTGTAAGTAGGCTATGGTCCTAGTGGGAAAATTGGAAAAAAACATGTCTGATATTTTCCAGTCTGAGCTATTGAAAGGTCTGTGGCAGTGTAGGTGGGGCGAATAGAGAATACCCGTCCATTTTGCAAGCTATCTTGTTATCATGATACGATGATACGAAGTGAAATTAAGTGACGTAATTATTATAAATGCGTGTTATTTAATAACACTGGCAAGGTATATTTTCAGTGATACGATGATGTGGATTCTGAAGAACGACGAATACAATATATTTACATTAAAATTTGTTTAATAGATAAAGACCGTCTTTAGAGTGAATTATACGTAATTATGTTCACTTCGTATCATCGTATCACTCAAAAAATATAGCTTGCCCAGTTTCAATAAATAACGGGAATTTATAATAATTACGTTTTTTAATTTCACTTCGTATCATCGTATATCACTGAAAAAATACCTCGCCCAGTCCTAATACATGACGCAGCTTAGATTCCCACCGTAGCCAGGTATATTTTTCAGGCCTGCCCGGTGTGGATATACACTCAGAATAACATCACAAGCATCTTATTCAACTGAGTACATTACACCAACACAAGAAAATTATCATGATTACTAGATTACATAGATATCGAAGGAACTAGACTCAGTTCCAAAATATCACATACTCGAACCGAACTGACCGCAGCTCAGTTGGCAGAGCATTGGGCTGGTATTCCAAAGGTCGTAGGTTCGATTCCCACGGCCGTGGCCAGGCATATTTTTCAAGCTTGCCCGGTGTGGATATACACTCAGAGTAACATCACAAGCATCATATTCACCTGAGTACACAACACCAACACAGGAAAAATCATTTTTCAGGTAGTCGAATCCCTATCAATCCGAAGCTTTCTAATTGAAAACTAATTCCATATTTCCCTTACCACAGAGAAAGAAACTTGGCTATCCACGCGTGAACGGCATAGTGCACCACCACCACAAGTTGCCCACAGTTCCCCCGCAGGAACAGGGTATTCTTCAAGTCGTATTTCTCTCCACCGTCGACAAGAATCTCAATCTGATGTTGAACGACTTTCAGGAACGCATCCCAACTAAAGCATGAACACTTTTGCATGCATAGTCAATAGTTACATTGTATCAATGTCAAGAAAGTAAACTTTGTAAGTTATAAAACATAAAACAGCAATAGGACAGTAATAAAACAGTTATGCAACAGTATAGGAGTTAAAATAGTTAAAATCTACTAGATTACTTTATAGTACGTAAATAGGAAGCATGTTGATTTAAAGTGCTGTATGAATTATATTTGAATAATATACTTTACTCTATACAATACGTAAAAAGAAACCTTTGTTTTAGTTATAGAACGGCATGAATTATATTTAAATTAAACATATACATGTTATAGGAACCTTTAGTCTTTATTAATAAACTTTAAAACATAACATTTTGTGTCAGTTGTGTATCATACAATATCTTAATTCAAGGGCGGATTTTCATTTATTTAAAAGGAGGGGTAGAAAAATTTCTGGTGAGGTGCAAGCGACACCACTCAGTGAGCTTCAGCAGGGGTTAGGCGTTTGGGGTAAAGCCTTTCACACAAAATAGGAGGGGTGAAGCAGAATTTTGGTGGGGTTGAACACTTTTTTAGAGGGGTTAGAGAGATTCTGGGAGGGGTTTAACCCCACCTAACCCCCCCCCCCCCAATAAATCCGCCCATGTCTTAATTCCAGGAAGTTAATTAAACTCTAGTGGAGTCATTTTGAAACAAATTTTACTCCACATTTGGAGTTGGTTCAAAACTACTCTACTGTGAGCTAATGAACTTCTTGAAATGAACAGAACATGTTACTCAAACTCATTAATAATTCAATCATAAGCAAAACACAAAGGAAACCAGTACTGTAGCAGTAATAAACGCATCAAATGAACTGGTTCGTTCGAAAAGTTATATCACACGCACGAAGTCGTTTACTGTAATGATTTTAAGGTTACAGGACACCCTTTTTGGCGTTTTGCGGAAAATCGTTACTGCGCGCTCAATATCAGTCCGATTTTCATCAAATTTTCACCAAATGTTCTCCAGTGCATGCAAAATATGGTAAAGTTGTAAAATTAACAAACAATAAAATAATGTTTACAAGCATTATTCAGGAAAATCTTAAATCGCGGTACCGTTACGCTTTTGAGTTGTGCTCCTGCTGGTTTTAAGTTATATTTATGAAAATATCATTTTTATACAGTAAAATAGTTGTTCTAAAAAATTGTGTTCGGAAATTTTTGTTTATTTCGTCATTCCGCTGATATGGCGATTTCTTTGACGACTGCAATATATTTCTGAATTGTTTGAGTGAATTGCTCTTTATTTTTAAAATATCCAAAATTAAAAAAAAGCCGAACACAATTTTGAAACTGACGTATTTAGCTATGGCCTGTGAAAATTTGAGAAAAATTGGTTAAAACCCGCAGGAGCACAACTCGTTTGAAAATCAGTAATTACCGTAAAATTTTTCGGGAGAAAATTGAATTTGAATACTACATTTTCAATGTTTTTCTTATTGTAGCGAAATGTATTTTACTAAATAACTCTGCGAGTTTTAAACATTTTTCGTTCAAACTTGGTCAGATAGTAGAACTAGTCTAATGCTTTCATTGAAACCAATAAAAACATTTCAGGCAAACTTAACACTCAAAGGTGTTCTGTAACCTTAAAAGGAGAATCTTTTGTATGTCACGTAATACGCGCTCAAAACTAACGAATATGCTTTTGTTACTATATTCAATTTTTTACATTTTTGATACGTTTCTCGAGCGGCAAACAAACTTAAAAAGTATGTTTGATGCTTTATCTGTAAATTTATGCTAAAATGAAGAGATTTTAGATGGTACGTCAAAGAGAAAATGATGTCTGAAGTTCAGTAAGTTTTGCATATATTGCTGTATAAATATGGCGTCAATTTTACAGTATCAATGATAATTGTGTTTAAATTGACAATTTTTTACTATTATTTTATGTTTCTCAACCGCCAGATACATTTAAAAAGGTTGCTAACTGTGGAAACTACAAAATAAAGCTAAAACAAAGTAATTTTGAGAGGAACGCCAAAAAGGTTTTGAACACTTTGCATCGCAAATACGCGACATTGAAAAAAAATGCCTCTTAAGCCGTGTTTACACTACGAGCCTAAGCCTGGTCTGGGCTAGACTTGCTCCAAGTCTCTCTTTCATTGTCATATAGTATCGATCCACTATAGTGTACATTACATGACGTAGCACGGAGAGGCGGAGCGAGAAAGAGAGACTTGTCAACTTCGGAAAATCTCGGTTCAAAACTGAACCGAAAATGCAAGACTTGCTTTAATTGTTTTCTGTCAGTGTTTATATGTATTGATCTAGCATAGTGTAAATAACACGAGTTCCATTATAGTAAATAATACAGAAAGAAATTGAAGGAAAACAATTAAAGCAAGTCTTGCATTTTCGGTTCAGTTTTGAAACGAGATTTTCCGAAGTTGACAAGTCTCTCTTTCTCGCTCCGCCTCTCCGTGCTACGTCATGTAATATACACTATAGTGGATCGATATGACAATGAAAGAGAGACTTGGAGCAAGTCTAGGTCTGGGCCTACCTTTGGACTAGATTCATTTGTAGTGTAAACGCACTGCGGCCTGGCCTAGGCCAGGAAATCTGGACCACATGTTCTGATGGACCTAGATTTCCTGGCCTAGGCCAGGCCGCAGTGCATTTACACTACAAAAATCTAGTCCAAAGCTAGGCCTAGGCCAGGCTTAGGCTCGTAGTGTAAACACGGCTTTAAACACCTCAAATGATGTTAAAGAACTTGGCTGTGCCTGGTTTTTCAACAAATGTTTCAGTTCTCAAATCATTATAATAAACTTGATATAAACTTATTTCACTCATTTAAGACTAGATAAATTTTTACTATATCATATTAGCCTACCTAGGTTCTTCAGGCTGGTAATACACACTTGCTAATATATTCTTATAGAGACAGCTGCAGCGAGAAGGAGATATATGCAACTACTTGAAAAACATAAACAGTACTTCGACATTTCGGCTACTAACTTTCTGACAAAAGGATTTCACTCAAAACGTGAAAGGTCTGTTTATATTTGTCAAGTAATTGACCACTTGCGTAATAGACTAAATTTTGATCTCAACAAGTCTAGACAAAAATTTGATCACAGCTTGAAAGAGCATCACAAAATTAGTAATATTCCAAAGTTTCGTTGCGAAATGTTGTAAAATGCGGATAATATAGCCTTGCGAAGTTTGCCGTTTTTCAGTCATTTTGCATTACGCGGGGGAAATTGACAGCCCAATACTCTTTCGGGCTGTCAATTTCCCGTTTGTAATAGAAAATGACTGAAAAACGGCAAACTTCGTAAGGCTATATTATCCGCATTTTACAACATTTCGCAACGAAACTTTGGAATATTACTAATTTTGTGATGCTCTTTCAAGCTGTGATGAAATCTTTGTCTAGACTTGTTGAGATCAAAATTTAGTCTATTACGCAAGAGGTCAATTGTATCTCGTCGTCAACGCAGAGTTTCTGTTATTTTCTTTACCTATACACTGACGTGATTGTTCGAGATATATTTTTAGATATCACATTCTGTCTTTTAAATATCCTTAGATCAGAGCTAAAGGCACATGTTTAATATGTATTTACAGTAATATAAATATTTTACCCAGAATTTTATAGACTAATTAAAGATTGCAGAGTGAGAAAATAATGTTCATTCTTTTCATTATATGCAGTAGTCTTGAGAGGTTTAATTTTCTTGCTCGTCATTTCCATAATTTCCATCGAGGTTGACCACCATCGGCATAACACTTAACTTACTGAAATCCAACAATGCTTCTAAAAGCTAGACAGGGGTAGGTGCCAGGGATACAATAGCTACAAGCACCGTGATATCATCAGGTTTCCCTCCTATTACCTCAATACCCTCCTGCATCCTTGCCTGTTTTGCAAACGGCGAGAGATAATTAGGATCAAATGATAATGTCCTTGCTAAGTTTGCTAAGGAATCTGCCACAGACTGAATGGACTCGGCACTGTAGTCCTAAATGGAACAACACAGTGGTTAGTGCATGTGTCTTTCGGCTCTGTGACTGAGTTTTCATTCCTGCAATATGCACTTGTCTCATTATAATCTCATCTCACTTGCATCTTAGAAATTCCAGTTTGACTCAAACACCACACGTGTTCTACAGAAACTCTGGTCTCTAACTAGGACTGTTTGGTATACCGATATACCAAAAATATCGGTATTAAAAAAATATCGGTATATCGATACCGGATATTCAACCATACCGATACACCGAAATTTCCGATATACCGGAATTTTTCGGTATATCGTGATAAATTTACCAACTATAAGGCGAAACCATAACCTTTATTTTACTACTGAATGGCAATTCAGATAACTTTCTACTGCAATAATTTAGAATTTCCACTTTGGTGAGATTTTACACTGAGTACATGTCGTTCGAAACATGTTCGAAACAGCTTCGAAATGATCGTTTTCCCTTTTAGAATTACTCAAAATTTCCTTCAAATTCCATTAAAGAATTTTTCTTTATAATTATCAAAGGAAAACCGGTATTTTTTCGGTATACCGATACCGGAAATTTCTCATATCGAACATTCCTATCTCTAACAATGGATCAATAAAAGATTATTCTTACTGGACCTTTAGGGAGAGGAGTCTAGAACTGATAGAGCTATCCAGTATAAATAAAGTTAGTTTAGTTTAGGTTTCCTCCTATAGTAACACTGGATCAATAAGAGATGATCCTTACTGGATGTCTAGGGAAAACAGTTTAGAAGTGATAGAGCTATCCAGTATAAATAGAGCTAGTTTAGTTTTGGTTTCCTTCTTTAGTAACACTGGATCAATAAAATATGGTTCTTATTCGAGCCCCAGAGAGAGCAGTCTGGAACTGATAGAGTTATCCAGTATAAATAAAGTTAGTTTAGTTTTAGGTTTCCTCCTGTAGCAACACTGGATCAATAAAAGATGATCCTTACTGGATGTCTAGGGAGAACAGTTTAGAAAGTGATAGAGCTATCCAGTATAAATAGAGTTAGTTTAGTTTTGGTTTCCTTCTTTAGTATTTACTGGATCAATAAAATATGGTTCTTATTCGAGCCCCAGAGAGAGCAGTCTGGAACTGATAGAGTTATCCAGTATAAATAAAGTTAGTTTAGTTTTAGGTTTCCTCCTGTAGCAACACTGGATCAATAAAAGATGATCCTTACTGGATGTCTAGGGAGAACAGTTTAGAAAGTGATAGAGCTATCCAGTATAAATAGAGTTAGTTTAGTTTTGGTTTCCTTCTTTAGTATTTACTGGATCAATAAAATATGGTTCTTATTCGAGCCCCAGAGAGAGCAGTCTGGAACTGATAGAGTTATCCAGTATAAATAAAGTTAGTTTAGTTTTAGGTTTCCTCCTGTAGCAACACTGGATCAATAAAAGATGATCCTTACTGGATGTCTAGGGAGAACAGTTTAGAAAGTGATAGAGCTATCCAGTATAAATAGAGTTAGTTTAGTTTTGGTTTCCTTCTTTAGTATTTACTGGATCAATAAAATATGGTTCTTATTCGAGCCCCAGAGAGAGCAGTCTGGAACTGATAGAGTTATCCAGTATAAATAAAGTTAGTTTAGTTTTAGGTTTCCTCCTGTAGCAACACTGGATCAATAA